ACACTCACGTGCAGGCCCCTATCCCCAAAATCGACACACTTGTCCACATGGTTCCCACATATGGGTTCGTGGAAGTTTTTAGCTGGTGAGCTCATAACTCTGGAACCAGAAAAGCTAGAAGGCTGTGACTTTAAGGGCTTATTTCCCACCCATACGGGATGTATGACTTCAAAATCAACCTCCAGGTGTGCATGGTTCCCACGTATGGGCCCGTGAAAGTTTCTTGCGGGTAATTTGCTAACTCGGGAACCAGAAAAGCTAGGAAGCTGAAATTTTAATGGAATGTTTCCTCACAGTCGTGGGTGGTCAGTCTCAATTTTTTTAGCTAGAAGCATCTGCCGCAAAAAACGGCGCCGTTAGCAGTAAAAACTCGCGGGAACTGTGCAAAAAATGCATCATTGCACGGGCAGTCGGTGCGCTGGTCAATTATTTGACTGATTTAGACAATAAAGTTTGCTTATGATGAATCCACAGCTACGGAGTTGCACACATTTTTCCTTCAGTACTGGTGATTTTAATAAGTGATCTAACCGCAACGCAATTAAACCGTTGACAGTCGGAGTAACCTCTCTTTCTCTTAGCATCATCGCAGCTGATGTTCTTTTGCCGAACACTGACACTCTGAGGGAAATTACTGGCTGGCGTTTGTTTGCCAACAAAACCGAGCTGACGATTCTGGCAACAAAACATACTTTCGCGGTATTTGCCAGTCCTCACTAGAATTGCCCGCATTCCAGCATTTATTGCTCCGAGCACATCATCACGAAAATCGTCGCCGATCATTATCGCTTGTTCAGGCGCTATTGCGCTGCCGCCGATACTGTTCAGTGCCAAGCGGAAGAATCCACGTTCCGGTTTACCCACCACTACTGCCTTAAAACAAGCGCAAAAAAGTTGCTTTAAGCTGAGAGCCAAATTGCTTGTCACCGTTCAATGCCTCAGTTCTGGCTCTCGCAAGCTGCAGCAGTCCGTCCCGTCAGGAACAGACTCCGTACCGTATTTGCTTCGCATGCGAACAGCAAGTTCCCACACGCCATTGGCGCGCGCACTCTCTCTGATGTCACTGGGAATGCAGTTGCATAAGTTTGACCTTCTAACATGTCATACGGTTTTGTGCCACATGAACAGCCCTAACACCCTTCCCATCATAATTTATTAAACTAATCCCATCCCCGCTTAAAATTTTTAGACCATGTGCATTCCACATTTTCTATGCTTCGGACCGCTCGCTTGTTTCAGAGATTACGGTTTGGCCTACCAACAGCCGCAAATTATTATTTTTAAGGTTAAAATTCGGCCTGCTAATGACAGCAACTTATCATTGCCTATCATTGTACCAGCAGTAAGAGGCCCAGTTCAAACTGCTGCCGGCAATGAGAAATGAACTTGCTTCAGCATCGGCGGCGTATTCAAGCGCCTTCACAAAGGGTCCGGGCCCCAGTGATAGGCCATCTTTTTGGCGGTAAAATCGTCCCTTATGTATTGCGATCAATTCAGCTCCATTCAGTAGCAATCGAAATGCTGCATTCATTGAAGTAAAATCGAATTTTGAAGGTGCAAGGCCAATAACCACTGCATTCGGTTCCTTCACGGTCACATCTGAACACAACATGCAGAGTCAAAGGACGAAGCGAAATTACGAGGAGAGAATTACGAGGAAATAAAATAAAACGAAGCATGCTAAATGTAACTAAGTCAAATTGTTGATGGGGGGATGACCAAAAATTGCATGTGTATGTGAGATGTTGAGTGGGAGGGGTGAGAACTGGGTTTTCTTTTTTTTAAAAAAACCAAACGTATCCAGCTCAGTTCAAGCGATGCACAGTAGAATCGACATGTGTGATTGCACATGGAAAATTGGAACAGATAACATGCTAGATGGCACACCAACACAAGCACTTGAGAGCGCTCACCTTGGAAGTCTTCCAGTGCCTCATTCTCGAGGAAGAGCATAGGCCGCAAATCATTTTTTTTGATGAGCTCTTTAGCAGCAGAAAGAGAGGTGAATATTTCCGACTGGGAAATCTCAAATCCAAGCTCTTTGAGATGTTGCCAAAGGCGATTTGCGGATTGCTGGAAAATTATGAAAAAAAAAAAATAAAAATAAAATAAAAAGACATTGCTCAGAGCCCCGAAATGTGAAAATTGCGAAAATGCATAATTCTAAACAAAACGAATATCCACTGCGCATTTTTTTGAATACTGAGAAATTCCGAGCAAAATGTTTAGATATTAGGTACTGCTGAATCGAATGGCTGAGCATTAAGTAACTTTAAGTGAAACAAAAGCAGTTTAAGCAGTTCGAAGCAAAATCATCGCAACTCAAGCGCTTCCGAGCGAAACAGTTGTGCATTAAGCAATTTTCAGCTAAGCAATCAAAGATTTTAGCGAAATTTTCAAATTTTAAGCAATTTTGCCGCAACCTCAAAGGATTTTTGTTAAACAAAAAAACGAAATGCAAAACGATCAAGTAATTTGCAAAATTTTTGAGGATTTTCGGGAAAAAAAATTAGGCAACTAGGAACTGATCGAAAAATCCAACAGCTTTGAATGGAAAAATCTACCAATAAGCGCCTTTGACCAATGGTCAACTAACAGGTGGGGGACCTCAGAGACGACTGCTGTACCTTGGTTGTATTGGTGACAAATCGGATCACACAACGCGGATTGCATCTCAGTCGTTTCAGTGCAGCCGGTGCTCCAGCAATACACATATCCTCGACGTGCAGGGTACCCGACAGGTCAATTAGCACCGCTATTCGTCCACTTGCTCCTGCCGCCATTCAGCCTGGAACTCCATCCACCAACTTACCTCAAGCGATAAGCCACCTTCGCCACGCCCAATAACCCTCCCCCCTCACTCGCGCCCCTCCCCTCGTCCTTATCCGTGCTTCTCAAGTGAAGACCTCAGCATGCTACTTCGCTCTCCGCAGTCTCTCCACAATTACTAAAACTCGGCCCGGCTTCATAAAGTGCACCCGTTCCCACACTATATGAGACACTACGGCTGTCATGGGATGTCGCTTCTATGGGCGCCTGGGTAACATTCCCCGAATGCTGGGTAATGTAGTTTGGAGGATAGTGGGTGGAAGAGATGAACGTGTGGTGCTGTTCTGAGCCACTGGGACTTGTAGCAAGAGAGTGGCTGGGATGAAGAATAGACAAATGCTGTTTGTATTATCATAATAAGATGATAATAATAAAAATTGGCCAACGCACGGGCTGCCGTGCGAAGGTGCGTTTTTTGCAGAGTTCCCCGCAGTT